TATATATATATATATATATATATATATAAATATAAATAGATTGTTCTACAGTGAGATATTTTAAAATAATCTTATTTACGTAAAAATTTGTAAAAGAGTATCACAATGGTCAAAAAATCCAGGTTTGTTTCCTATAAAAAAAGACCAAAGATAGTATTAAATAATAAACCAACACAAAACCAAGTAAAGTTATGAATTAACATAAAATGATCAAATTATATGTCCGGTTGAAAATTAAAAAAAAAGAAAGAAAAACAACAATGACAACCAAACCCATGAATCAATTGACATAAAGTTGTTCTAACTTAATTAAAAATCTCAAATTTGAACACTAGGACGTAACTATATTAAATATTTGAAAGAAAAATTTTATTGTCAATAGTATTCCTATTTGATTGAAAGAGAATTGTCTCCCATGGAGGAACCTCATGTATGTCTCCTATTTGACACGGGCCTTTTGGTTATCTAGTTGAAAATTAGTGAATTGATCAGTTTCGTCCAGTTATATAATCGATGGCATTATTCATATATAAGTGCAGTGTTAACAAAAAATGTTGTTGATGCTGAGATTAACAATTAGCATTGATTTTGAATAATTAAAAAGAAACTGTTATATAATAACCAGTTATTATAAGAAACAAAAGGAAGGAAACAAGGAGATATTCATATAATACCTGATCAATCTGGTTAGATGCCAAATTTTCATTTTCTGAAATATCAGTTACCTTCCCTGCAGGAATGGTAACTGACCTCCTTTGTTACTGCTTAGAGAGTCAGTGAGTATAAAGCTCTTGATAGTTCCTTTAACCAACAAGGAACGAAGTTAGGAATTCTTACATTACTTGAATCATAATGAAATAATACTAATACCTCAACTTTATGTGTTGAGCCATTGTGTAAAGACTATTTGTAGTGAATATTATGCTTATCTATCATAGAGGCCCCAAAGCCAGTACCAAAAACTGGCTTTGTGAACTCAGCAATTTTGTTGATGTTGAAATCCCTTGTCTCGGTGAGGGAGCTGGTCCTCAGTATTACCTTGGATTTCACGGGATCTACACAAAATTTCAGAAATTGGTTTAAAATTATAACTGCCAAGAGAAATGAATTTTAATATCATAAGCACAGATGATAACATACCATAAAGGAATGTGATAGGAGCAACAGGAGAGACAGGAGTGCCTGGCTTGTAATTCAATTCTGATAATATCAGGTCTTGAGATGTTCTTGAGCTACAAAATGAAACAATTAATAGAGAGTAATGTAGTTGTCAGAATTCAATTCTTATTCTAATTTTGGTATGTCTTGTTTAAATACACTTCTTAACCAGCACTTATAGAAAAAGAAATTAAAAAGGTAAAATAAATTGAGTTTAATGATTATATACCAATAACATAAAACACTTTCACAATATTGATGAATCACAAATCACCTATTAGCATGACTTTTTAGCATAAAAGTTAACAAATCTAATCATACATACATAATAATTTAATAATGTAAAACTATTTTACACGATTAGTGTATTGTTTATTTTCTCAAATAAATTACACTTTTTCATTAAATTATAATTAACTTATAGATAAACTAATTTTAGAAGTTCTTTCATTTAGTTTCTTCAAAAATTGATTTTGACTTCTGTATAAACTAACTTAACACAAGTTTATTTTATTTCACTTTCTTATTTTCTTCTTCTATAAGTACTTATTGATTCCTAATGTTTATAGTAAGATAATAGCAGAACTGTATCAGACAACAAATACTCTCTTGCATTAAAACGAAATCTGCGGGTCCCGTTACTTCTACAATTAAGAGGAGTTAAGACGCTAGAGTTAACATGTAGTGCATTCATAACTTGCTCAGTTGAGTTTCTTATAGGAATGCTAAAGTCCAAGAAAACTACCAGGTCCCCTGGTTTGCTTGTTACAACAACTGTTCTTGGGATACCATTAACCTTCAACTCATAAGTTGGAACAGATGTCCAAAAATCCACCTTCATCGGTCTTCTATCTAAGACAAACCATTTGAATGTATATATGAGTGCCCTTAGACTACCTTTTAGTTCAATAGTCAAAATATGAGCATTGCAACCAGAACCTCACCAAAATGAATATTCAAAGTAGAATCATTGGTCCTAATGAAATGGTTTCGAGCTTGGTCAATGCAAGTATTCTCGACCATTGTGATTCCCATAAGTAACTTTTGAGGAGATAATCACTTCAAGGCTATATTTGATACCAGGTGTGATAATTTGTAAAGAGGATGCATCCACTTGAGAAGGACCAGCTACCATGATCTTACATGTTAAACCATAGCAAAATACATTCATCACCAACAAACTCGTCACATTAACTGCAATCATCGGGAAGGGTTGAAATATTGCGATTTTGTATTTTTTAAAAATAATGGATGGAAGAATTAACTTTTGAGGTCAATATAGAATTGTAGATAATTATTTTGACTTTCTAATAAAATTAAGATAAACTTGATAGCATATATATAGCTTTAGCTAAGGTGTTTGTTTGGACTACATGATTTCTTAGAAGATTAAGTAATGAAAATGTAGTTTGTCAATAATGATGATGAATAATTTTACCTTTTAAGTGTTTGATCTTATGAATGGTTTGATGTACCTATATTAATATTTAGGAAAGATAAATCATGGGAGAAAATAATTGTGAATAAGTTAAGATGTAAGTTGATTATTAATGGTTTGAGGTTTTTTTAGTGTAGCGAAGTCTGAGATCTTAATGTGTGATATTGATAACCTTGTTAGACTAGTTAAGTTAATGATTTAAATGCTTCGTGATGTTGTTCTCTTAGTGACTATGGTTGATATATTAACATATGATTAGAATACTTCATAATGATTCCATCTTGAGGTGTATAAAATGATGTGTAATTATTGTGTTTGAATTACGAATATGTGACTCTTATTGATGTGGATAACTGAGAATTATATATCGAGTATGTATTTATATTAATGTGATACATGATTGATGTAAACTTTATGAATTGGTATTGGTGTTGGCAAGACATGAATGATGTAAGTGTAATGTGATTGGAAAATCGTTGAGTATGTATATTGATAATATGATATTGTATTATGTGTGACATACATCATGTGTATATTTGAAAATTGTTGTGTGTGGATCTTGTGAGGGTCATGCAAATTTGCATACATATGTTTGTACATATATTTTGACTAGTGCCACATGCATATAAATCATAGTCTGTGTCTATTGCATATCATGTGTGAATGCATTTGTGTATGGAGTGTTTGAGATTAATGATGTGATAAATTGTAATTGACTTATTGGTATCTTGTAGTTGATGTTGAGTAATGTGGTTGTATATGTTGTTAATGATATATATGTTATGTTTTTTGTGTTGGTTATTCGACTTTATTTCACGCCGTGAGCCAGAGTGAGATATTTCTTACTCCTCTTATTTCTAATATTGTCTATATTATGTATGTTGTTGCAGGTGAGACTCATTAGGGCATTGATGATACTGATGAGGAAGCTTGGTCCTTATTTAGGAAGTGCTCTGATAGAATATGTGAATGTGACATTGAGACATAATTTAGAATTTGTGGAAGAACATATGCACAAAGTTTTGATGATGTTAAAGCATTGAAGAAAATAAAGGTCAAGTTAAAGTAAGTTGATCAAGAAAAAAGATCTCAAGAAATCACTAGATAAGTCTTGACTACTTAGCTTTATATGTAAAATGAACTTTTAGAAAATTGCAAATTTTACTTGGCCATTAAAACTACAAATTCAAGAAAACCTCAAATAATCTTTTTGAATATAAGAGTAAGTTTTTATATTTTTGAAAAGAAAGTAAAAAGAGTGTTCAAAAAGATTTTACAAAAATATTTTAACTGGAAATTAGAAGTTTTTTATATCTTAAGTTTTCATAAGCCAATTTAGTAATATCTGTCTGGTAATCAATTACCAGTACATGTAATCGATTACTAGAGAAAAAAAACTTCTTTGTTCATGGTTCAAATGTTAAAACATACTCTGGTAATCGATTACAGACCTTGTAATCGATTACCAGAAGACAACACTTCAAAATTTGAATTTAAATGATACAACATTTCAAATATTTTGAACTTAAAAACCGTTGTAATCGATTACTAAGCCTTGTAATTGATTACCAGAGAATCTTTTCTGAAAAATTATAAAGAGTTATAACTCTTCATGAAAAGATAAAACCTAAGAAATAATTATCTATAAATACCTATAATTTTTCAGAAGCAGGTTACGAACTCTCTTGTGAAAATCAATTTACAAAAACTACTTGGCCAAAGTCATTTGCAAAAATCTCTAAAGAATTCATTAAGATCTTAAAAGGTGTAATATCTACTCTTCAAAGAGAGTCATTCTATAATACCCACTTGATCATTTGATCTATAAAGGAGAAAGGGTTTTTCTCCTTGTTGGTTTTTGATGATAGACCATGGGCCAAAGGCCCAATCATTAGAGCTATGACTAGGAGCATACAAGAAGAGTTGGACCTCTTGAAGACTAGTGGGCTTGTCAAGCCTAAGGTACTCTTCACTTGGAATACTCTATCATGAAGAGAAAACCTAGTTCTACTTGTGTATATTTTGTACATAGTTCTCTTGTATAGGTTATTTTTGCCTTTGTTTTTGTGAGGTACTTTATGTCATTTTATTATTCATTGTATATTGATTCTAGGGTGACTTACTTGGAGAGTTTAATTCCATTTAGCCTCCTTTGTTAATACACTCATTTTCTATTTTTTCAGTAGCAAAAGAGGGGTGACATTTAGCAATGCTTGAAGGTGTGACTAGCAATTGAGTCATAATTGGGCATAGGCAAAATTTTACATATTGGACTCATTTTGCTCATAATTTTTCATAGATTTGATTTAGCTAGGTTTTATCATCATTGGATGAACCTAACTAAACCAAATCAAACATTTTTGAAATAATCAAAGTGAGCAAAATGACACCATGGCCGCCCCCACCTTGCCTAGCTCCTTCTTTGGCCGAGTTGTTTCTCTACTTCTGAAGGAGTTGAGAAGCTTATGCTACAAGCTTCTCCTTAGCTTGCTTCCCAAGAAAGCTAAGTGAGAAGCTTGCTCCACAAGTTTCTAAACTCACCTAGAAGGTCAACTAACCTTACCATGGTTCCTTGTGAACCATGATTAAGGTTAGCTTGCTCCTTAAGCTACCTACCTCTATATATCTGTAATTTCTATTCTTGTAATCACTTTTGACATTTATGAGATATAGAATTCAGAATTCTCTCTCATTTTCAAGAGTCCAAATCCGTGAGAACTTCTCTCTTAGTTCTCTCTCAAAAGTTCTTCACCTTGAAGCTTGGTTCCTCAAGCTTCTTCACTTCTTCAAGAGGTAACCGAACCTCTTATGGTGCTTCTCGTCCATTGGAGTTGTCTCCAAGGAGCTTTCGCCATTGTTGAAGAGTTCTAACCTCAAAGCGCAAGGTCTTGGACGGTGGATATTTTGAAGAACACTAATCCTCTTCAAGTTTCTTTCATCATTTTTGGTATCAAAGCCTTGGTGCTCTTGAGGTTATGTTTTCTAACTTATGTTCTTGAATCCGTCTTGTTCCTTCCTTCTTCTATGTCAAATCTTTGTTTTCTGAATTGATCTAGTTCTTGCTTACACTTTGATGGATCCTATATGTCACATGAGAATTAATTGATTCATGTTTTGCTTGTTCCTATTTCTTTAAATTAATTTCGGTTTTGTGCTTCTAGGTTCCATTGTGCTTGTTGTGTTTGTGATTTTTCTTGAGTCTTCTCCATTCCATAACATGAGTCCGTGATTGGACAACATATCATAGCATGTGTTTTTGCTTTTGAATCACTTGTTTTGTCTAGAAGTCATATGTAGTCCTTTTACATGTTATCAATTTCTAGACTAGCTTGTTTGACCTAATTTTTTTTGTGTTGTTTGAACCTAATCTTTTGGTGCGTCTTTTGCTTATTAAATGTGAACCTTACTATAAGTGATTTTTATTTACATGATTGAGTTCTTTATTTGCTATTAGTCATAGCAGATTTCCTAGAGTTAAGTTTCCTTTATGTCTTGTTAAAATTTTTGTCAAGAAAATTGTTAAACACTAATTCCTATTAGGTTTCTTTGAGTCTTTCTTTGTGACTGAAACTTTTAACACTTTTTAAGAATTAAAACAGAGGCAAAATAGAGGTGTATGTGTTCTAAAATGCATTAGAAAAACAAAAGAAAGAGTGCTTAAAATTTGACAAAAAAAAAATAGTACA